TATAATTTTTTGACAAGACTCAAAAAAATACAGTGGAAATATAATAAGAGAAATATAAAAAGTAAACCAACACAGGAACACACGAGACTTTTATATTGGTTTAGATCAAAATCCTATGTCTACTCTTCCTTCTCACGAATGGTCTTCCTCACTTTGACCAGAGTTAATCTGAATCACAACCTGATTCAGTAGGTTTTAAAGACTGCACCCTGAAATCTACCCAAAATCAGTCGTTTAACCTAACTCTTCATAATGACTAGAAGAAATCTAGACCTAACTAGCTCAACCCTTAATTACCCCAGCTTGAGTACGCCATCAAACTCACAAGTTTGATATACAACCAACCAAAGCAAATAAAACATAAAAAGAATAATCTTGCAGCCCTGTATCAAATCATTTCTTCAAATCGATGAAGATAAAGATCCGTGAAGAAGCAATGTAGCGATGTAAGAATAGGGCACTCCTTCTCACTGAATCAAACTCCAATGAAAACATGCCGAGAAGAAGATGAGAAGGCTCAGAGCATTTGATCAACTCTCTCTTTTGAACCCTAGAATAAAGATATCTCTTTTTATGTTTTTCCCTCCTTCAACTTTATTATTAACTATGATCTCCAACTCTCCTTAAATAAACTTTGATAGGATAGGAAAGAGATATTGAAATATGAGTGCAAATTTTGTCATAACCATCATTAGTGAATCATGACAATCGTTGATCCCTTGGTGATCATCGGTGGTTCCATTGTAGCCATCGATGATGTTGATTCTGGTTTTTTAGTTTCTTCGATTGTCTCATGTAATCGATGGTTCCCTATGACCATCGATGAGTCACTGTAGACCATCAATGGTGTCAACTCTTGTTTCTATTTTTCTCCAATTGACACCTGTAAACATCGATGAGATGATTAACCATCAATGGTTTAAAAACTAAAATCAGTTTTTGTGTTGATTTTTGCATCATTTCAATTGTATGTTGATATTTACACCGTTTAGAGCCACATCTTGCTCGTACATGTTTATACCTGAAATATATCATCTCACAAAACATATCAGCAGTAAATGAGAGTTTGTTATTATTCAAACAAGAGATATTTTATGAACAATATTCTAAAAATATTGTACGAAAAACTTTCTAATAATCTCCCCCCTTTGATAATAACAAAACTCAAAATTTAAAATACATAATGTAAATCATGCTGAGATATATAGTCAGTACAAAATAAGCACAAAGCACATTTCATGCAAAAGTTATATGATATGCAAAGCTCCCTTTCTAAATATGCATACATAAAAGTATTAAACATATACAGGTTTTACCGAAACTTCCCCTAAAACAAAGCATCAAGTGTTCAAAGATTTTGAAATCTAAAAATCAATCATGAAATTAATTTGGAAAACTTTAATAAAGCACAAACACTCATAAAATATTTTAAAATTTCACCTTTCTCCCCTTTTTTGTTATTAGCAAAAGAAAAACACATCAAGGATATGCAATATACTTGAGAATTCAAATAAAATTATCCAAATGTGAAAGAAAGAGCAGTATATACTGGTTCACAAAATTTTTTTCGTAGAAAATAACACCAACTTCAAAACACAAGCATCACGATTATAAGTCATATTAAGATTGACACACAAACTATGAAGATATCGATGAATAGTTTGTAAAATTAACAATAAAAGTAATTATATTAGTTCATAAAACGAATTCAAATGTTACTTTATCTAGTTTGAGCTTTTTTCCTTTTGTTACACAACTTGGATTATCTCAACCTTTAGCAAGGATAAAAAATCTTGATCTTTCACATCAACCATATAGAAATTTTAAGAGGAAGAGTGATAGTGTTTAGAGGATGATGTACACCATCTCTAAATATGTGAAATATTTAGCATAGGATAGATACCCTTGAGATATTGTACTTTTATATCTACGAGTATGGGTCTTTGACCATTTTTTAACAAATACACTCAATTTTACTGTAGATTTATAGAGTGTGGATCTTTGATCATCTTTTTTATGAATATACTCTTTTGGCTTTATAGCACATATGTACTTATAAAATTTTGGTGTTGTATTCAAGTAGAAAATGAGCTCAAACTTTTTGATATATCCAAAAACATTTTATGAACAACATATAAAAAAAATTATTCTTATTTTCACAATACTAACCATAATAAGCATAATACTAAGGTGTGAAACGTAATATGAAATATATCATGAACCATTGTGTTTACTAAACATATATGTATAACTTTATATGCACGTGTAGCATATATAGATGCGTAAAATATGTAAACTAATATGATAAACTCATGCCTTTATGCTAACAGATAACCTTAACTAAAAATATATTGTAAAGCATATACATAGCATGTCCAAATTTTTTTTCTTAAAAAAACAGAGAAATTATTTTATTTTATTTTTTATTTTCATAAGAAAATGAAAGAAAGAAAAAAAAATTTGTTTTGGTTTTTTAAGATATAAAAAGAACCAAAAAAATAAAAAATAAAAATAAAATAAAATCTAAAAAAATTATGTATATACAATAGATCAGGTGAGCATGCTTAAATATGATAACTAAATAGATATACAATACTGGCAAATAAAGTTAGTAAACCCAAGAGCATCTCACGCATGATAGAAAAATATACATACAACAAGTAAGGGTTATAGAATATACCTGAAGCTTAACCTTATGAGAAGATGATATAAAATATATATATCAAATCTGTATCTCCTCTTATCCACGTAGACCAAGGATTAGATTTTAATAATTTGAACTTGCAAGCAATCACAGTGTGTTGCCTCAATCCTTGGCCGACCTTCAAACCTATAGAAAGGCAGATAATTATAACCTGCGTATCAACATAGCTCCATGTCGGTTAGCAATAAGGCTTTTCGATATCCAAATATGTTTGATTGTTTTGATCCTATATCTTGTATGGCAACTCATAGAAACATGTCCAACTTTTTCACATAATGAGCATATAGAATGAAAAATTTCATTGGAAATAGAATCAAAACAACCAAGATTATTTCCTTTTATAAAAGAAAGATAAAACTTTTTACAATTTTTAGAATATGAAAAACTAAGTTCAGGTTTAGCATTTGCAAAT